TTTTTTCTTTTTGCTTATGTGGTGCTGAGGAATCGAACCCAGGGCCTCATGCATGCAAGGCAAGCGCTCTACCACTGAGCCACCTTCCCAGCCCTCCATTATATTTTAAAGAATGATAACAACCTTCAGAATTGATTTTATTTTCTACTCAGGGGTCACAAATTAGAAAATATTTCTCTAGTCTCCTGACAGAACCAAATTTGTCTATCTGTATTTGACTCTACTTTCTAGTGCCTTCCAAGACACTTGGATGGCTAGTAGAGTTACAATTCTCATACCAGCTAGATCTTTTATTTACTTTGCCTATTGTCTGCTCTCAACTTGAGTATCACATTCTAACCTAGATTGGGAGGCTTTGAAGTATACTGGAGCAAAATCAGAAAAAAAGTGTCTTAGTCTGTTTTCTGTCACTATAACAGGATACCACAGACTGAGTAATTTAAAAGAAGAGACGTTGTCTCTCATAGTTCTGGATACTGGAAAGTTCATGAAGGTAGTGCTGGCATCAAACAATAAACTTCCAAGGGCACCAAACCTTAGTATAAGGGAAAACAAAACATGTGACATAATGAGACGATTGATTCAACCCATCAGTTTATCTGGAACCTACTCCAGCTCTAACCAACCTGTTCCTAAGATAACAGCATTCATCCACTCAGGTACAGGCTTCATGACCTAATAACCTCTCAAAGCCACTCCTCTCAACATGATTATAGTGGCAATTAAATTCCCAGCGAGAAAGCCTGGAGCCAGCGGCTCGTGCCTCTAATCCTAGCTACTCAGGAAGCTTGGGCAGGAAAGTCTTTAAGACTCTTACCTTCAATAAACTATCAAACAACAACAACAACAGAGTGGAGCAGTGACTCAAGTGGGAGAGCACTAGTTTTGAACAAAAAAGAAGCTCAGGGAGAGCCCAGGCTCTTAATTCTAGCCCCAGGACTGGCACTAAGAAAGAGAGAAAGAAAGAGGAGAGAAAGATATAGGGGGAGAAAGAGAGATCTGGGGAGAAAGGAAGGAAGAGAGGAAGAAAGAGGGAAGGGGGAGAAAGGGAGGAAGAGAGGAAGGATGGAAGGAAGGAAAGAGATAAAGAAAAGAAGGAAAACCATTCAGCTTGGAAGGAGGCATTCAAGCCACAGCAGAGGAGCCCTACGCTGCTGGGACTCTGGAGGTAACTTGTTTTTTTCACCTCTACATTTCTATGTGGTTTCTAAGACAAACAGGATAGATTTTTTTAATTAATACAAGGTTTTTAGGGAGGCTTTAAAAAAATGATCCTCAAGCACACTCCATAGACTTAATTAAGATTTTTTTTAACTTTCCTTCTCATAAACTACTTCTTTTATTATCTAGATAAAGACTGGTTTTAAGCCAATGGGTTTCTCAATTAGACAGTCTTGGATTTGAATTTAGCTTTACTTGTAAGAAAGACCTTGTTATTCTTTTTCCTCCTTTTAAAATAAAACACATGATACTCACTTTCTAGCATTCTCTGAGTGCAAAGCAACCTACAAAGGAACCAATACATATATATATATATATATGTACATACATATATATATTACATTTAATACTTGTAGCAACCCTGTGACTAAGGTACTCCTATTAACTCCCATTCACTGATGAGAAACACAAGAGAGGTTGGATAAATGATCAACTGTCACACAGCAGGTCTTGCAGCCACGTGTGCCTGTCACTCTGCACAAAGGGACCACCTGTTCCTGAGGCAAGCAACTTCTTCCTCCAGGCCCCTTCCTCATCCCCTCATGGGACTGCACAGTTCTTCACAGTTCGCTTGGATCCCATGTCTACCCTGGAGTACCAATGCAGTCTACCCAGAACCTACAACTGAATACTTTTAAAAAGGAGCCTCCACACAGATAGTCAAACATTTATTCATAATTCCTCAACATCAGGTAGACAGACTTACTGGTGCTTTATTCTCAAAGAGCTAAAAACATATATCAATCATGATCTATGAAGAGGGACTCAATCCTTCAAGGTAGATAAGGCAGATGGCATTTGTGCCTGCAAACTAGTATTACATAGTTGACAAAGACACCACTATTGGCACTTGCAGGGCTGAACAGGTGGAGTTGCCCTAGCTGCTTGCTTTCTACAGATTTTTTTCCCCACGGAATGGACAATACTAGAATAGGAGACCCACCTCATCCAGGACCCTAGTGGACTTTCCTGAATCAACAGCACAGCCCCACGAACAACAAAAGGGTGCTGCTCTTGGAAAGAACAATTAGAGTTTGGGAAGTTCCAGAATTCAAAAGAGAGCAGATGGGACATCTATATTCCAAAATCAACACTGAATTATAAGCATGTGAGGATCCCTTCACGATCTTCCCATGATCCACAGCACCAAATGATTTATTTGAGAGAGACGGAGAGAAGGAGAAAATGGAAGAGGGGAGGGGAAAGGAGCAGGGGGAGGCGGAGAAGGGGAAGAACCCAACATTCTCACTTGGCAGTCTCAGATACCAGGTGTCTTCATTATGTGAAGACACTTTATTTCAAAGATGAATGAAATCTACAGAACTCAAGAGAAAGAAGAAAGGGAGGCTGCCCTTCCCCCATCCCTCCACCAGGGCCAGCTCTAGGAGGATCCCAGGGCAGCCCCCACGGGGTACACAGGGTCTGAGCGTCCCCTCCTCACCGCCCCTGCCCACTGGGGTCACTGGGTGTTCAAGGTCCCATCACATCCCCCCCAGCGCCACAGGCAATGCCCTCTTCTTGGAGGGTTGGGGCAGAAAGCCAAGGTCTCACATTGGCAACTTGCCCCTGAGTCTGCTGCCTGCCAGGTCAATCAGGCAACAACCGCTGGGCGGTGTCTTCCTTCCCGGCTGTGGGAAGAGCCAGGACTCCGGGAATTTCCCCTGCCCGGGAGCTTAGGCCTCTCCCACTAACTAACCATGCATAAAAGGGGCTCCCTGTTCTGGGGGAGACACAGGTCCATCGAGATCACAGCAGCTCCCCGCCGGCTCTCTACAGCTCCAGGCTCTTCCACTACCCTCCAGATCAGCTCCATGGCCGGCGTCGCCTCCTCTCCCCGCGCTCTGCAGCTGCTCAGGCTCGCACCGCTGCTGCTGCTGCTCCTGCTCGCCAGGAGTCAATGCACTGCAGGTAGGTCCTTCCTCTGGGGGTCCTCTGAAAAGACTGGGATGCGTGAATGCCCAGTCCAAGGGCAGACCCACTAACCCGATCTCTCCTGCCGGCAGGGGCTCCCTTGGCCAGTGAACTGCGCTGCCAATGCCTGCAAACCATGCATGGAATTCACTTCAAGAACATCCAAAGTGTGAAGGTGACACCCCCAGGCCCGCACTGCGTCCAAACTGAAGTCCTGTAAGTCTTACCTTGCGGCTAAGATCTAAGTCACACCGACCCTTCCCACCACCCCGTTCATGACCCCAGCCCGACCTCCTACCTCACTCTGCACTGCCCCCCTCTCTCTCTGCAGAGCCACTCTCAAGAATGGACAGGAGGCTTGTCTCAACCCCGAAGCCCCCATGGTTAAGAAAATCATCCAGAAGATGCTGAGCAAGTGAGTCGTGGTTTCTCTTTGCACGTGGGACACGATGTGCACTCATGGGGCTCGTGTCCTGACAATATCAGAAAAACTCAGGGCTAGTGGCAAGACTAGCGATCACAAGGATTATTTTCACAATTAAATTACATCAGCCATTCAAATCATTTATATAGACTGATGCCAAAAAGTTATTTCCAATGCCTTCCACCCCCCATGTCCAAACCCCACTCAAATGGATCTCGGTAGGATGGGCACTACTGAAAGTTTTACAGTAGACCAATGATGATGATGATGATGATGATAAATAGTAGTAATAATAATATAAATAATAATAAAATAATATAAATAATAATAAAAAGTGTTTCCCTCTGTCCTTTATGGACCTTAAACCTGTAGAATCTCAGGCTTGGGGTAAAGTTACTTCTAATCTTTCTGATAAAGAACAGGGCTCTGTGCAGTAAGATATTTCTGAGTTCAAGGTCAGAACCTCTATGAATGCAATTTAATCCAGCTGCAGACTGTGCAAGTTCACTTCAAAAACATCCAGAGGAGATGATGCAAAAGGGAAGATCTTGTAGCCATTGCATAGTTTGTGTGTGCGGCTTAAGTGAACCCATGCATGTAAATTTTAAGCAAATGTGATGATCAGTGAGCAATTTTGATTCTTTCCAGTAAATAATAGCATTGACTCTAGAGTCCACTTTTCCATGAACAAAAACATTCAGGAGCTGCAGCACTCTGCTGCATAGGGTAGTGGGTACAACCCCACCCTACTTGAGGGCAAGGCCAGGCAAGAGATGCATGTACAACTCCCTCTGGGTTCAAGGGCTGGGATAAAAGAAGAACTTTCCTTCACCCTTGTAACAATCATCTTTTCGTATTTTTTTTCCATCACAGGGGCAGCACCAACTGATCTAGAAAAAAGTGAAAAGATTGCTGTGCTGATTCCAGCCTGTTGTCCCTATCCTCAGGAAAACAAAGAATAGCTGGCATCTGGAGACTCCTGGAAAGACCTTAATGCAATTTTATTATTTCTTATGAGCGCACTATTTATTTGTGTTTATATTTATTTATTTTTCCAAGCCTATATTTTAATATTTTACATGACTATTTAAAGTGATAAATGTACTTCATCATACATGGCTCAATTCTGATTGTTGAATTTGAAGATGGTGGGTTTATAAATGTGCTATTATACTAATATTTATTGGAAAATCATCAACTTCCAGCAGCTACCATGCTGGAAGTCTGGGGTCTGGGGTTAGGATCCAAGCAATTAGAGAGTACAACTATTGTGAGAATATGGCAATACATGTGCATCTATTTTGGTTTTGTACTTTTGAAAATGGTTGTCAATTGTTATTTATTGAAGTCTTTGTATTATATGGTCAACAGTATGTTGAAACTTCCCTTGGACATTTTATGTCTAGCTTGTAGGGCATAATGCCTTGTTTAATATGTTTTGTCCAGTGGTTTTCTTTGTCTTGGCACAGAAAAGGTGCAGTTACTGCTACATTTTTACATCTGACATGGAAATAAAAGTTTTACTAAAATATAACTTGAATATCTTTTGTTTTATTCTCTTTGATCTCTGTAGTTAATCTCATGAGTGTTCCTGCTTGACTTTCCCCCTGACAATCTATTATTTAAGAAGGAAGTTGATATGGTTAGAAACAATCATTACCCTGATGTAATTACCTTGGTAATTCTAGTGGTAATGAAACACCGCTGTTTCTCATACTGCCCAATAGGAGGTGGATGTCTTGGTATATTGTGCATATTAGTCTTGAATTCATGAGTCTTCCACATTAGCCTATTGGGATTACAGCCAAACACCACCATCAGGCTCAAAAGTAGTTCTTCACAAATTTCTAAATACTTACACATGTTTTAATAATGACTTCTATTAAATAGTTTGAGTAAGTAAAATTTCAAAACATTATGTAATTCCTTTTAATGAATTTGAGAGCAAGAGAATGAAAAGTGGATTTGTTTAAAGTAAGAACTCAAACGAAAAATAACAACCTAGGTAATTTAATGCCAGCAACAATCATGAGCCTTGGAAGTAATTACAGACTGTAAAGTAAAATATATGACAAAAGGAAGAAATGACATGTAATTAATGGATTTGGAACCTAACACAGTCCTTCAATTGTTAGGAAAGCAATGATAGAAAATTTAAATGGAGTAAGAGCAAATAATTTCTAGGCCAACCCTGAAAAAGAAAATACAAACTTCAGGATTTAAAAACCTAAAAAAAGGCTGTAGTCCTAGCTACTCTGGAGGCTGTCATATGAGGATCTCAGTTCAAAGCCTGACTAGACAGGGAAGTCCATGAGACTCTTATCCCTAATTAATCAAAAAACTACAAGTGGAGCTATGGCACCCCAGGATCATCACTGAAAAAAATATAACGGAGGATATAAAATATAATAAAAACAAAAAGGACCATGATTCAAATGATGCAGCACCTGCCTAGCACACAAGTTCCTGGAGTTCAAACCCCAGTATGGTAACTTTAAGTATTAGATACTTAAAATTAAGAATTGGGGGAGTTGAGATCTTGAGGATTATGGTTTGAAGTCAGTATGGGTAAAAATATCTAGATAAACAAATCAGCAAAGAAGATGAGCTACAGTGCCAGTAGAGTAAGTGTAAGGCTCTGAGTTCAAACACTGGTATCAGTAAAGAAACAAACACAAGTTGTAAAGTTTGTTTTTCAACATAATGACTTGTACATCTCATTGTTGCAATGGGTCCACCTGTATCCCTATTTAAACGATTTGTTTTTTCCCTTACCCTCCACAAATTATAGCAACATCAAATACAGTGAAAGCAGGGGTTATACTGTGATGGAGAGACATACAAAGAAATCATCTTATAAATATGTTAGAAACAATCGCAAGAAAGAAAAAAAAACATTTGAATACTTAGGGATTCATTTCACCTAACATCAACTTATCTGACCTTTTCTGCTTGTCTCAGACACATACTAGTTATTGCAAATAAGGAAAACCATGGACCTATGTTTCTTTGGGCCTGGCTTACTTCACTTAATAGAATTTTTTCCAAGTCTTTCCATTTCTTAACAAATGGGGCAATGTCATTCTTTCTGATGGAGGCATAGAATTCCATTGTGTATATATACCACATTTTCTTGATCCATTCATCTACTGAGGGGCATCTGGGGTGGTTCCATCTCTTAGCTATGGTAAATAATGCTGCAACAAACATGGTTGTGCTGGTAGCTTTAGTGTGGTCTTGTTTGTGATCATTTGAATAAATGCCCAAAAGTGGGATTGTTGGGTCATAGGGGAGCTCTATGTGGAGTCTTTTGAGGAACCTGTTATGTTGAAAATGAACTTTGGGGTGGGAGATGGAAAGGGATAGGAAAAGGAACCAAAGGAGGAGGCAACAATGCTTGATAAGAGATGTTTGATAACTCATTACCTTGCCCATGTAATTATAACCTCTCTGTATGGTATTTTCACAATAAAAAAAATGAAGAGAAAAGAAATAAAAAAACTGAAAGAATTGAGTGTTGAATCATGCAAAAACTAACTGAAAGAAACTGTATATCATACATTGTTCATAACTATCAATGTATTGTTATTTACTAATTGGTTTATTAGTGAGGGTCTGATTTATCTATAAGGAATCATGGAAATGAGTCATCTCAGAGATAAAGAAGACTAACTCAATTCTTCAATTGACAAAATACCCTTAAGTGTTCTGAAGTTAGTAATGTATTATAAAAATACAGAAAGCAAGATGAAAAGATCAAAAATGAGTCTTAGACAAATGCACACATGAAATATGTGAACAAATTCTTTCAATGTTTAATCAACAGAGTTGTAAAAAGTTAGTAATATTGTGCGTGACTGAAGCAATACCATCAAGCCTACTTGTACAATTGACTCAGCAATTGTACAAATCCAATCTGCTTTTTCACTGCACAAGGAATTTTGTGAAAGGCGCTATGAATACACCCTGTGCGTGTTGTTTCCTGTGGTTTATAACTCATTTCTCAACTTCCTAAATTTTACTTTACATCATGCTGTTTCCATATTCAGGCAAAACATCTCTTAAGATGAAAATATCTCCACGGCAAAACTGTTTGTCCTCGTTTTCTTGAAGTTTTTATCTGACATACTCTTTCTGTAATTGGGCATTTCTATATTTCTTCTTTTTTATTTTTAGGTCATTTCTTTTTAAAGTTGTATTCTTATTTTCACTGTGTTAGAGTAATTTTACAAATGAGATTTCAATTCAACAGTCAGTTTGTGAGTACAATACATCTTGATCCTATATTTCTTGACTTAAATTATATGAACACAAGAAAAATTAATTCCCTAATAGTACCTTCACAAAACTTAGAACATTTTTTTTTTGGTCTGAGACCAAACTCAGTTATGTTTCACCCTTTGGTTGGTGCTCTAACAACTCCAAGAACACAATTTTAAGAAAATAGGAATATCAATTTTATATTGAAATGTGTTTTTAAAAGACTCTTGGAGCTGGGCACTGGTGGCTCATGCCTGTAATCCTAACTATTCAGGAAGCTGAGATCTGAGGATCTGGGTCTCTCTCTTCCTCTCCCTCTGTCCCTCTCTCTTTCTCTCTCTCCATTCCTTCTTCCCTCCCTCTCTCTCTCTCTCTCTCCTAAGAACATTGGCAGTTAGATTGAAATGTTATTTATGATAGTTTATGTTACTTAGCGTCTTATGAAATACGCTAGTTTCTAGGGATGTTGCAGAGAAAAGCAAAGATCTGCTAAACTAGAAAAAGGTTAAAGAAATTTTTTTTAATCTTTTCTGTGCTTCATAATTTTCCTACATTAATCCATGTTTCTGTGTATAAGCAGAAAAATGAAATTGTACTTGCAACTTGTTTTTGCATTTCTTTTTCATTGTAAAGGTGATGGACAGGAGGGGGTACAGTTTCATAAGTAAAGTAGTGAGTACATTACCCCCTTCCTCAGTTTCACCTGCTTTCCTCTCCCCATTCCCCTCCTCTCAAGTTGTAAAGTTCATTTCCAACATAGGGTCCTGTTCTATTTTTAAATAATACCTTGCATTTCTACTAATTATCTCAAGAGTGCACAGTGAATTTCAGAAAAGTAGGGATTATTTGTGATACAAATACTCTGTTACTGATGAGTTAAATTACTCATATACTTTATACATTTTAGGTTCACATTAATTTCCATATGTTTAGAAAAAGTAATATTTTAAATTCTTGGGGATTTTTTTGTTTTTATACAAGACTGTACTAATGATCACTGTAAGTAAAGACAGGAATCTAGTTATTTTTCCTAACATTTAGTATGGGATAGCCTTACTTTGATTCACATTTTGTACTTGAAATTGCTAAAATCATAATTAGAAATAACTCACTAATTAAAAACATAAAAAAGCAAACTCATCCTAAATTTCCACTTAAGAAAACCAAACCTAAATGACATTTTCTTATATTGGAGGATGCTTATAACACAAAGAAAAAAATCTTTCCCCTATGTATAAGAACTTTATCTCTAGGTGAGTTTTGCTTGGGACATAGGGATAAAAGTAATTTCTGTTGGGCACTGGTGACTCACGCCTATAATCCTAGCTACTCAGGGGGATGAGATCTTAAGATAGTGGTTCAAAGCCAGCCCTGGAAAATCTGTGAGATTCTTTTATCTCCAATGAACCACCTAAAAGTTATAAATGGGGATGTGGCTTAATTGGTAGAGTGCTAGTCTTGAGCCCCAAAACTCGAGGACAGTGCTCAGACATTTTATTGTGTTTACGTGTAATTATTTAGAGCATTAATATGTAATAGTGTTTTACAAATAACATAGTATTGTTTCTAATGATCTTTCAAGGTAGATATGTACCACTATGGCCATTTAGAGACAAAGAACTGAGGCATGAACAGGTAGAATGTCCTGTGACTGTAATTGGAGTCATCTGGAGTAGAGTCCCGCTCTGTACTTCTTTGTAGCTCTAAGGCATCCAACTTCCTCTGTCTGCCCTCCTACAAACCTTCCCACAGAATGTCCCTCAACCTCTTTCAGCTTGTATTCAGACCCACAGGAAACCACCTAGCACCCACTTATAACCTGACAAAATAAGAGCAGAGACTGAAAAAGGAGCAATGAATGACGGGTTGCACAAGGTAATGCTCTAAAATGTCTTATTAGAAATCTAACAAAATGTAACCACGCTGTTTCTCTAAGAACAAAAATCAAATTACCAGAGGGAGAAGTGTCTATAAAAGGCAGAAATGAGATGAGAATTTTTCTCTTCAAAGCAAAGTGAGTTGAAATATCCCCTTGGAATTTTTTTTTTTTTTTTTTTTTTTGCCTCTTAGCGATTGCAGCGGTCATGACTGCAGTATTAGTCTTTCGTATTTGTGACCTGTGGGGGGGGCCTGGGATAAACCTCGAACTGTACACCTGCAAGTTGTCACCATACCCCTCCCCCAGCGGCTGTAGCACTGTGGCCAGATCCTATGTCAAGGGCTTATCAGCACATTCATACTTCAAGAAATGGTTCTCTTGGATTTACTCCAGTTTTGGAAGTTCCAGAATTTCACAGAGAAAGGAAGCTACGTAAGATTACATCATATTATCCTAAATTACACAGGAATTTTTAAAAAACACACACACACACAACTTTTGGTGGCTCTTTCCCCCTGAACTCTCAAGGGAGAAAAAAAAATGATACAAAACGATGTATCTGTACTTGTTAAATACCAGAAACAAAGCAGACCTATGCAGATCGAATAAACCTTCCATCGGAAATACTTAGGAGTCTACGATCTACAGAAGTAAAACAAAAATCTACCACCTCTCCTCCTCCACACACTTCCCTAAATTCTTCCAGCCCTAAGGACAGATCCTCAAACTGTCAGGGGTGCTCTGATGACACAGACTTTTACAGGGAGCCCCCGGACACGCTGTCACCTTAGCCTATCACTTCCCCCTGGGGGGTTTGGAGCAGAAAGCCAGCAAGTCAGAGTCACAGCTTCCGTCGGTCAGAGTTCGGCAGGAGGGTGAAAGCGACGTCACTGCGTGTCCCCAACCAGCTCCTTCTGAATCAGGGCGTGGTCGGGTGTCTTCCTTCCGGACTGTGGGGAAACACCGGGGCTCCTGGAATTTCCCACTAACCATGCATAAAAGGGGTTCTCTGTTCCCGGGGAGACACAGATCCATCCGAGATCACCATCAGCTCTCCAGCTCCAGGCTCTGCGACCTTCCTCTTGCTCCGCTCCGTGATGGCCCGCATTGCCTCCCTCTCTGCCCGCGCTCCGCAGCAACTCAGAGTCGCACCGCTGCTGCTGCTGCTGCTCCTGCTGACCAGGAGCCAATGCACTGCAGGTGAGATCCTCACTCTCTGGTCCCACGGAAGGACAGAGCTGGGAGGGCGCCCAGCTCAAGGACAGCCCTCACTAACCTGGTCTCTCCTCCCCGCAGGGGCGCCCTTGGCTAGTGAACTGCGCTGCCAGTGCCTGCAAACCCTGCAAGGGATTCACCCGAAGAATATTCAAAGCGTGAAGGTGACGGTCGCCGGACCCCACTGCGCCCAAACCGAAGTCGTGTAAGTTCTTCCCTGTCCTCTGTGGCTACTGAGTCACCAGACCCTCCCCATCACCCCACCCTTGACCCCAGACCCAACTCCTGCCTCTCACTCTGCTCCCCGCCTTCTCTCTGCAGAGCCACTCTCAAGAATGGACAGCAAGTTTGTCTCAACCCTGAAGCCCCCATAGTGAAGAAAATCATCCAGAAGCTGTTGAACAAGTGAGTCTGGTTTCTATTTACACGTGGGACTGCAGTTACGAGGCTCAGGCTGGCCCATGTCCAAAGAAACTCAGGACCAACGTGGGACTAGCAATCACGATTCATCTTGCTATTAAGATCACTAATGTACTCCAGCGCCAGACAGACATTTAAATGGACCAATATGTGTCCTTGAAACATCAGGTAGAATTGTCTAGGAATGCAAGCCTTCTACCTATTGGGGTGCAATATTTACCTCAGTCTCTTAGGAGCCTCAGACCTGAAAAGTGGAACCCCTGGTTTAATGCCAATGTCCCTCTACATCTTTCTGAGGAGGATCAGGGGTTTGTATTGACACCCCTCTGAGTTGAAATCTACGTTTCCCTTCTAACTCGTCCTGTCATTCAATGGGAAAGTAGTCATCATTCAAGGCTACTCTGAAGCTTCAGTGAGGTCACACACATTCAGCTTTATACCTATGCAATATTGTTGGGGATGTTGGATGCTGAGAGAATTGTGACCCCTAATTACACAGCATCCAAAGCCTGGTGGGTTTGCTCCATAGTCAGGTGGAGCTAGGGGATGACTATATGTGGAGATATCTACATTAAGGTGGGAGAAAGGGCTGCTCCATCTATTTGGGGATATCTACTAACAGCAACCATTTTTTCAATACAGAGACAACAGCAATTGATTTGGAAAATTCTCTGCTTCTGTTCATCCTCTGAAGAAAGATCAAAGTGAAGAGAGAGAGAAGCAAGCTCTGTCTGGAGATAGCTAAACCATCGGTGTCTGATGTGTTTATTTATGAGAGCTTTTCTGTTTATTTATATCTGTATTTATTTATTTAATTGATGTTTCTGGAGTCCTATTTATTGTGCTATTTAAAGACATGAATGTGTTTGGTGATACACTGTAGGGCTTGATATCTGTCATAGATGGTCATTTCTTTTTTGAAATGCTCAATCAGGTATTTCAGTCCTGAAGGAGGGTGATGTTTAATTGGAGGGTGATGGATTTTTATTTTACTTGTTATTTCTTTGGAAGTGATGGATGTAAGATGTTGTTAGTTTGTTAAGTTTTGGAGGGGAGGGTTGGGCAGTAGACTGTGGTAAGCCCCTGTGGTGAACACTGAAGATCAGTAGGGAAAGAGCCAGATGCATGTAGTCAGATCACTGTCAAGCTAACGGGAAGTGTGTATGTGTGTGTGTGTGTGTGTACACTATTTTTTTGATAACTGTTTAGGAGAATGTCAGCTGCCACTTATTGTAATACTTTCCCAGTATGTGGTCAGCGATTCTGATGCTGCACTTTTAAGAATTCTGATGTTCGATTTATCCCTTGGACATTTTATGTCTTCTTTGTAAGGCACAATGCCTTCTATAGCAATAATAACACAATGTCCTCCATGTCTTGGAGTTGAGATATTTATTTATTAATGTATTATTTTGAATAATGTAAAAATAAAGCTGTTCACAAAATAAACATACTTTGCTTGAAGAAAATTACTCTGTGTGTTTCAACTCTTTGTTCCTCTGGGATACCAGGTTTCAGGAACCCATAGCAGACCTTAGACCATAATACCTACTGTCCCTAGCTGGCACTTCCCTTATTTCTCTCAAGAGGTGTGTTTAATGTTTTTTTTCAAAGTCTGAGTGGTCCCCACTTTAAGCAACCTAACTTTACATAATGTGTTAATCATGTTTTATTTGAACCACTTTCCTATTTAATTCTAGAACTTGAATCTTTTTTAAAAAAAATTAATACACAAACAAGACCACACTAAAGCTACCAGCACAACCATGTTTATTGCAGCATTATTTACCATAGCTAAGAGATGGAACCACCCCAGATGCCCCTCAGTAGATGAATGGATCAAGAAAATGTGGTATATATACACAATGGAATTCTATGCCTCCATCAGAAAGAATGACATTGCCCCATTT